ACGATAAGAATTTCAAGAATATGGAGTTTTCCTAAAGGTTCTGCAGCCTCTCGAGGATAAATACAGACGTCTCCTACCGATCCGCGAGACTCTACTAAACCTGCTCATGACTCGTGAGACCTATGTAACTTAGGCTCTAATACCAACTTGTCACGACCCTAAACCTAGACCCGGTCGTGATGGCACCTCTCGTGAAGACAAGGCCAGCCGGCACATTTCCAATTCGAAGTTAAACAGCTAAACAGCAATAAAACAGGCTAAAACATGATTTAATAATACTAAGTAGCAGATAATATCATAACAATGCAGAAGTACAACCCAAACACAGCCCAAACCGGGGTGTCACTAGTCATGAGCATCTACTAAGGTCTAAATACAACTGGCAAAGTCTGAAATGTACTAAGTACAGACTGATAGAATAAAGAGGGAGAAAAACAGTGCTGCGAACGCCGGCAGCTACCTTGCTAAACTCCGATGACTCTGCCTCCGATCAACCAATACCCGCTACCAGGTTTAGAAAATACCTGAATCTGCACACAAGGTGCAGGGAGTAAAGTGAGTACTCCGACTTAGTGAGTAATAATCATAAATAAAGACTTAGTGATAAGAAATCACGAAAAGTGCATCAACATGCTATATAGAAGTAGTATAAAACCATTAAGAAGCAATGAAGCTATAAAATCTCTTAAATACATCTTAGCTTAGTTTAAACTTCTTTAAAAATGACCTTTTCGACAGTTACGCAAATGAATGCAAAACAATTAGTGCAGATAAGCATAGAAGATCGCCCCTCGGGCACAACTACACAATTAAACAGGTATATGACAGGCAAATAAGAAAGATAAGCACATAAGGTTCGCCCCTCGGGCACAATGTCAACAAATCTGCCCCTCGGGCAATATCTCAGAACAGTACCAGCCCCTCGGGCAATCACATATAACAATACCAGCCCCTCGGGCTATATCTCACATCACAACGGGTACCCCGTGCTCACTGGGGGTGTGCAGACTCCTGTAGGGGCCCCTTACGGCCCAAGCGCAATATCAAGCCATCTCGTGGCATCATAAACAGGCTCTCGACCTCATATCAATATCAAGCCACCTCGTGGCGTACAATCTCAGGCCCTCGGCCTTATAATCAAAATCAGTGTATCACCGCTGCGGCGTGCAGCCCGACCCAAAAGATATCCTCACAACACAAGCCCTCGGCCTTACTCAGTCAAAATCACATAAGCCTCCCGGGCAACAGTAAAACAGTGTTTCTCAGCCCAAAACATCATTTAAATATCATTTGAGTATTAAAACTGAGTGAACATGGCTAAGTTTTGAAAATAGTGGAAAATAACATGACTGAGTTCAAGTATAAAGTCAAAACAGTGAGAAAATATCAACAAAAATCCCCGAAGGGTTCAAATAATTGGCACAAAGCCCAAATATGGCATTCAACCCAAATAATAATTATAGCAAATAGATTTTAGTCAAATACGCGGAAAGATCATCAATCGGGACGGACCAAATCACAATCCCTAATAGTGAACGACCCCACGCTCATCATCAAGCGTGTGCCTCACCTCAATATAGCACTACGATGTACAATCCGGTGTTTCACACCCTCAGAATATCATTTACAATCATTACTCACCTCGAACCGGTCAAATCTCTAGCTCGCGACGCCTTTGCCCCTCGAATCGGCCTCCACTCGCGTCGAATCTATTCACAATCAGAATGAGGATGTCAAAATATGCTAAGGGAACGAAGCCCAAGCGAAAATAATCAACAATTAGCACAAATTCCAAAATTACCAAAACCCGACCCCCGGGCCCACATCTTGGAATCCGATAAAATTAACATCTATGGAATCCTCATCCTCTCACGATTTCATACATATCAAATTTACCAAAATCAGACCTCATATGGTCACTCAAATCCTAAAAATTCACTCTCCAATTTCAAGCCCTAAATTCCCAACTCTTCCTCTAATTTCCCATAAATTTTCATGATTAAACAATGATATAATCACCATAAACACAAGGTAAAAAGCCCAAGTAGATTACCTCTGCGGATATACTTGATCACCTCTTGAAGTCACAGCTTGGAGCTTTAAAATCGCACAAAAATGGTGAACAAAAGACTGAAAATCGCAAAGGGGAATTTTTATACATTCTGCCCAGCACTTCCGCACCTGCGAACCCACAAGCGCATATGCGCTTCCGCTTCAGCGGAAAAACACCTGCTTCAGCGGATTCCACTTATGACACCAGGCCTTGCATCCACGGTCAATCCACCTCACCTGCGGTACCGCATTTGCGGTCAAATTGCCGCTTCTGCGGCTTTCACTTAAAATCCAAAAATCGCATCTGCGACCATGTAGCCGCACCTGCGCCATCGTAGGTGCGGTCATCCAACCGCATCTGCGGCTCCTGCACTTCTCTTCCTTGACCGCTTCTGCAACTAAAACTCCGCTTATGCGGCGCCGCACCTGCGGTTCCCAATCCGCAGGTGCGAAAGTACCAGAAGCAGCAAATTCAGCAGCTGCAACAAAATCCAAACTTCTCCGTTAACCATCCGAAATCACCCCGAGGCCCCCGGGACCTCAACCAAAAGCAAAATATATACTAATACCTTATTCAAACTTGTTCCAATCATCAAAATACCTCAAACAAAATCAAATCACCCAAAACACATTGGATTCAAGCCAAACTTTCTAAAATCTTCCGAACTCTGCTTTTGATAAAAAACCCAACCAAACCATGTCCGAATAATCTGAAATTTTGCACACACATCCCAAATGACACAACGAAGCTACTGCCACTCTCGGAATTCCATTCCGACCCCTATATCAAAATCTCGCCTATCAACCAGAGATCGCCAAAATCTCAATTTCGCCAATTCAAGCCTAAACCTTCCACGGACTTCCAAAGTGCATTCCGATCATGTTCCTAAGTCCCAAATCACCTAACGGAGCTAACCGAATCATAAAAATTCCGATCCGAGATCATATACAAGCAAGTCAATATTGGTCAAACCTTTCGAATTTCAAGCTTCAATGTGGGAATTGTTCTTTCAAATTCATTCCGATTACCCTGAAAACCAAAACCAACGATTTACATGAGTCATAATACATCACACGGAGCAAGTCATGCCTGGGAACTGACGAGTAAAGTGCAGAAGCTCAAAACGACCGGTCGGATCGTTACACGGTGTGTGCGAGGTAACTTGCTCAATAATTTAATTTCGAGCATAATTTCCAGATTTCCTATTCAAGATAGTTTATCTTGATAAGTTGGTTTACATCATAGTTGGTTTAGCAAAATAATTTATTGAGTGCCTCCACTTAATAGCTAAACTATTGCTTATGAGAATAAAGTTATCTATATCAGTTTGATATAGGTTATATACAAAAGTATATTACATTCTCCCCTCACAAGTGGTTTCAGGGTCAGGAACCAAATAATTCCATCTCATTATTATTGATGTGCGGTGTATATTTTGATTAACACGATAACACACAAAGATGGGTTCTCAAAGTTGAGGAAACAAGTTAGTTTTTCTAACATGAGGGGGAGACAAGATACAACAGTTGAGAAAAAATTACATAGAATGAATTATCATTTATACATCTAGATCCGCGAATAAAATAATCTGAACTTGAAGTTCATAAAAGGATAATTCATTTGCAATTTATTGCAAAGCATGCCAGACGCATTTGCTGACCCAAAGAAAGTAACTATATTCTCATTGCAAATGCTCCTATTAAGTCCTAGAAGGACAAAGTCTATGGTAAGCTTAAAGCGTATAGACAATCGGTTTCAAATAAACTTCTTGATAAAGAAGATGAGCAAATGATCAAAATGATCATAATAAAGGAGGCAAGTGATATAGAAGATCACATGACATAACACTTCATAAAATCTCATGAGAGATTTAGGTACCTGAATATATGAATGAAGAGATCTCTATGTTATGTCTTTATGAAAAATAAGGAGGTTGGAACCGATATAAAATATTTGTCGACGACATCTATGATAGCGCTAAATATATATATGAGGATCTTCAGTCTGAAGAAACAATTCGAATAGAATTGGTTTCATATGAAAGACATGTAGTTCAAACACTTGAAAGTATAAAGTCAATGGTATGTGCAATCAGTTTTCGATATCTTATATGTCTAGCATGACGCGAAAACTTGATATGCATCTAAAGTCTATTATATGGCTTATATGACTTAAAAATCCTTGAAGGATTTAAATTGCTTAAAGCGTATAGATTTCATGGTCATGAAGTACTATATCCTAAATGCAATTTGTGCACATATGTATCTTGCTATAACTATAAGAATGATAATACTATAGCAAGAGTTTTGACCCCTATGTGAAGATATTGAAATGATGATTGCAACAAGATCATATGAAGACAATACATCTATTAGGGATGGTGATTTCAAGGTGAAACAAATTCGTTGAAGTTAATATGGCTGATATTGTTTATCAAATATCTACCAATGATCTTTTGAAGATGGTGCACAAGATTGGAATGCAAATGCTTAAGGATGTGATTAATGCTCTCATCAGGGAGAGTTAATGCGCGTTGCACTCTTTTTCCCTTACAAGGTTTTGTCCCACTGGGTTTTCCTTGCAAGGTTTTTAACGAGGCAACCAAAAGGCGTATTATTAGATATGTGTACTCTTTTTCCTTTTCTAGAATTTTTTTCCCATTGGGTTTTCTGTTAGTTAAGGTTTTAACGAGGCACATTATGTGTTGAATGGGGAGTGTTATAAATAGAATTGTATTTATGGTGAATGTCTATATTTAGAGAGATTGTAGGGTTCATTGCTTGTGGCTTAGTCACCCTCTCCCTATAAATAGATAGAGGGTTCTATTCCATTTTAATTCATTCCAAATCAATAAAAATTCTCTCTCTACTTTTCTCTGTAGTACTTTTCTTTTATTGTTTCATTACATTATATTCATAGTTTAGCTACTTACATTCCCCTTTTAAACATTTTCAAGAATTACATGCCTCAAATTTTCTTTCCAAAAAGATGAACTCCACTACTCGATTCCCAATTATCTTTTCTTTAAGTTTAAAAATGTAAAAGAGTTCCAAGAATCAAATGCCCGAATTCCCCAAGTTGGTACTATTTGCTTCGACAATTTGAAGAGCAAGAACTCTCAATATACTTTACTGACGAAGGGCAGCTCATAATGAATAGGAAAGGTATGTTCTCCGCACAAGAATCCACAATATCTGCAGTTAGTCCAGATAATTTCCATTAATAAAAACAAAGAATAACTATGGAAATGGAATATGGATATATATCCTTTGATAATCTTACATGACATTCTAGATATGGGTTTTATCTGGTCAAGATTTATTGACTGAAAGATGAAGTAGTCTTTAGGTTTTCCCCCTTAAAGTTTAGTACTTTTTGATGATAAACTGTTACATTAATTAGACATTTGCTGGATTTATCTGATTGTTGTCGGGTGTTTGATTTTATCTATTATTTGCAGATATCTACTGGAAGACTTTGGTATGTGTGCCTGAGTGAAGGGAAGTAAACAAGGGAGCTTGATAATCTTGAAAATGGGGTTCTTGAGGGGAAGGAGAATGTGGGTCATTTTGGATAAAGGGTAAAAAGAACCTTACCCATTATTTTGTTTTGTTTTATAACCATTTGTGTCAAACCTGGGAAGTGTTTGTTAAGTAGCAACTTCTGTATTGAGCAACGTCCTTGAGGTAGCGCATATCAAATATAATAACTTATTTTTATTGGAAAATGTTTCTTACATGAGTGCTCTGAAAATTTCTGCTTTGGAAGTAGTATTGTGCTAAAATGAAAAATGTAGGTCCATGTTGATTAGTTTGCTAACATTTCGTTTTACATAAATTAGTATATAACATTTATGACTATCTAGTTTCCTATTAGTGATTATTATAGTGATGCGCCAGCCGGAAACTACATTAATAATGGTGGATATGCGCACGGATTTTAGTTTTGAGTTTTTATTTCTTTTTCTGGATTTATGAGTCTGTGAGACCTTTCTTTTCCACTAAGCCATATTCAGTTCTTTCATGTAGTTTATAGCAGTGGGGCATGCATGCAGAAGATCCATAGTATGACCAAGCAAATCTTGGAACTTGTGGGAGAGGTGGTCCTTCAAAGGTTGGTGTATGATTGCCTGAATGGAACTTTACTGCCAATCCAATGTTTAACTTAGCTTCTTAGTCAATTTTGATCATCTATGCGCTTTTGTGTCCTAACTTGTTTGTCAAATACACCTATTAGCTGCAGCGACACCATAGAACTTGATTGACTCTGCAATTACTTTTGTAAGCTTAATGAGTAAAGCACTGGTATGCTTCTAAAAGGTCACCTAGTGCCATATGCCAACTGTTGCCATGAGACGTCTTTACACTTTAACTAGTGAACGTTCTTGTCCTTCCGAAGACCTCACTCCTCGGAGAGTGCCAGAAATTAGTATTGCAGTTTAACTTTCAGTACTTGATTCAAGTTCTGAGAAAAGAGAGGTCGAAGTAGAAGGTAAGAGGAGGATCCAACACTGTTAAGCTAAGTAAGATGACAGTAATGAGCATGCTTTCATTAATTTAACTTTGTTCCAGTATTAAGAGATGAGGTTAAGAAGTGTAGTGCATGTGGGATTCAACAGTCTCTTCATGATATTTTCATAATAGAAAAACGAAATAAGTTTGTAGTTAGAAGAGTAAAGTTGATCTCACTAGTTTTTTTCGTGTTATAAGCATCCGAAACGTTCTTTCTTTTAGGAAGGGAGCCTTGGCGCGATGGTAAAAGTTCTCACCGTGTGACTTAGAAGGTCACAGGTTCAAGCCGTGGAAACAACCTCTTGTAGAAATGCAAGGTAAGACAACATAAATAAGACTCAATGTGGTTCAGCCCTTCCTCGGACTCTGTACATTGCGGGAGCTTATTGCACTAGGTTGCCCTTGCTCTCTCCTTTTCGAAAATGAGAAGTCGATCAATTTAAAGAAAGATGGTAGATGCAAATAAGTTTATTGCCATGTCTGCCATTTGGAAACTTACTTGATCTACCGCCTTATTATATGATCTATTTTACTAATCAGTCGATTGAGTGTTTTATATGTGTTTGATATATTGATGCCCGATGCTCTTGCATACTTGATTTCATTTTCATATCTATATCTATATATCTATATATATATATATATATATATATATATATATATATATATATATATATTCTTAAACCTTTTATTGTTGATTTGTGTTTCTCGGTTAATCAAACAGAGCATCTCACAGACAAAGTGGTTTGGTTTTTTCAGTTTTGTTGTTTAATTTCTCTTGGGATTTTATCTATTGAAAGAGAAAAAACAAGTTCCATAGGATTTAATTATCAAAAAATTTTCTGTTGGACTCTTTTTAGTTGTTGGGGATGCGTAGGCTTTGACTGAATATAGAATCTGATTTAAGCTGTTCAGCTATCTTTTCCTTTTATCTGATATCATATATCCTTGTCTATTTGCAGGTCTGACAATGCATAGAAGCTACACCAATTAGTGCTGTTCATTAATGGAGATAGCCGTAAGTGTCTTTGCATAGTATAAAAACTAAAAGAATATATTTTGGAGCGTGTGTCATATCACCGGAGCCATGGAAATTGGAAATAAAGAGGAAAGAGTTAATGCAACAATTTACTTAAAACTTTTTTTTTCCCTGGAAACATTTCACGATATTTCTGGTGATTTGAAAGGCAAAAAGCTTAAGCTGAGGCAACGCACCTTTGGCCAGGCAAGGCACTGCCAATAGGGTCTGTGTTTTGAGTGTGAACATTTCTTATCTTTTAACTTGGAAGTGCTTTAATAATTCAAAACGATTAAACGAGTCAAAAAATGAGAATCCTTAGAAGTTGGAAAATATTTACTTTATTCCCCTCATATTTTGTTAATGTAAAATTTTAGACAGATTCCATTTCCTCTTAATGTGTACACATGGCGTAGACTCATTTTAACTATTGATTATACCTGTCTAAATTCCTCTTTTCTATGACGGGGAGGAAAGCTCAAGGTTTAGCCTCCACCTGGAGGCCTCAGGGCAGTTAGGCCTTCCGTTGCCTCATGGGACATGGCCATGAATTTGTTTTAAAACGTCGATTCTCGCATCTACTTCTTTGGCTGCTCCTACGGTTGCATTCACTCTCCTATACTAATAAGGATTAAAGTATGAACATTATCATTTCCAGGCATCATAGAAGTTGACATCATGCTTTTCTTTTATTGATTTAGCTGTTTAATGTTGCCAATAATTTATCACATTTTCTGACCTATAACATTCCCCATTGCAGCCTAATGAATCAAAGACACCTAGCAAGATTGGAGATAGACCAACCAGTGATGTTGTCGTAAGGCTTAGAACGCAGGATGGCCGTGATGATTGGCTTTACTGCCATTCACATATTCTTGTCGAAGAGAGCAAATATTTTGCTGATCGGTTATCAGATAGTTGGCCAACATGTCAGATTCTTGACTCGCGCAATTGTGTTGAGGTTTACTGTGAAGAACCTGATTTGGACTACCATGTCAATGTCCTTCGACTCTTCTATGTCATTGCAGATAGTTTAATGACTGAAATTTGCCATGGTGTCAGGAATGCCCTTGGCATTTTGCGGGTTGCTGTAAAGTTTGGATGCCCAAGAATTATTGCGGTATGTGTGGATTATTTGGAAGCAGTCCCATGGGAGGAAGCTGAAGAGGAGGAGCTATTAAATACTATACCAGGCATGGGATCCAAAGTGGAACCAGTACTTGCTCGTCTCCAACCAGTCAATCCTACTGCAGTAATGAAGATTTTTCTTGCGGCCCTTCAATTTGCTACATCATCACCTCCTTCACCTTTGAATGATCTGAAAACCACTGCTCAAGAACAGCTTGAATACCTGCTTACTGAGGATGATGATGCTCCTTTACTGACCGCCGATGATGAAATAAAGCTAGAAGTCGTACGATGTGCCAACAGGCTGTTTGATAGATTTAACAACCTTGTAGAATCTCTACTGTGTGATCTCCAAGAATCAATTTCAGATGCTGGGAAATTGCAATCATTGCATTCCTGTTTAACAGATTTGTCATGGGCATGTCAGATATTAGGAAAGCTTGAAATTATGAGAGATTTTGTTTGCAGCTGGACAGAGTTGTCAATGAAACTAGTTAAAATTGTTCAACAAAAAGAAGCAGAAAATCAAATTCTAAAAACAAAGCTGAAGGTTCTTGAGGTGACAGCAAAAGTATTAGAGGCAGTAGGATATGGCATAGTTGTGTTACCGACTGTAAAACGACTTCACATGGTGAAACTCTGGCTTCCTTTTGTCCGATCCATGAAGCCTTTAGTTGATTCTTTCGCCGAGGAAACTGAGGATGATCTCACAATAAAAGTCGATAGTGAGTTATGGCAATCCTTGGAGTCAGCATTTGTTTCCATTATACTTGCATTGCCATCAGTTGATCAGGCAGAGATTTTAACTGAGTGGTTGGAAAATCAGCAGATTCGATATCCAGACCTCACCGAGGCATTTGAAGTGTGGTGTTACAGGTCGAAAGTTTCCAAGCGAAGGCTGGCAGCACTTGGGGAAGAGCACAATACAGCTAAGACAGTATGACTTCTCTGTTTCTCTTTTTTGGCCAATTCTAGGATTTAGGTTCTATAACTGATTATATGGTGCAAATTTTCTGTTATTTCTTTAACATAGCTGAACTGGTAAGACAAATGGTCTAGGTTCTGTAAAATTACCTTCTCTATTTTTGTTTCCCTCACAATGTTTTATGCTTAGTTTTCTATGAAGTATGTTAATCTTTCTCAGCAAGATGGTTGCATAACTAATGATTGACGACAGCTTAAGTTCTTAGATAGAGCTTACTCTTGACAGCTGATGTTCGTAGCCAAATCTGTTTGTTAGTTTTTAGGCGTTAGCTCTATTTCAGCATTCTTTTTTCTTTAATAATCTAACTGAGGTTTCTCCTTGTAGTGCTCCCTCCCTTTGAGCTGGTAAGGCAGATGGTTACTCTCTACCCTTAATCGAGTGCTCGAAATTGTTGCAAGTCTTTCGAGTGAGTCGTTCTCCTACGAAACATTGACCACTTTTACTTGTCTTTGGCTATTTTCCATCTAGAGGATGAAATTAGAACCACAAAAGGACGCCAAGTGATACACTGACAATATACGATTGATTTTCAGTTGTTATATCCTTCTACACTTGGCATTTATTTTATAAACTTTACCCAAGTATAAAACTGGTCACAGATATGGCTGTTTTTTTGTTTCTAATAAATTTTTCTCAGCTACTGGCCTTCTTCTTTCACTAAATGCGTTCAATTTCGGCCACAAGTTCCATGTATGAAACTAGTAAAGATATAGTTCTTTTGTTCCAGGTGGTGGTTCTCTCTCCTTCCGATCTTCTTTGTAAGAACGTTATCAATTTTGTCCATTCATTACAATGAGCTTCTGAATTTGGATAGCGTGACATGGATCGAGCATTTTACATCCGTTTCTTCCAACAAAGTTTGTTTGTTGTGAAAGTATGTTATTGTATAATTGAGAAATTGCTCCCAATGTTTTTGTTTAGTGGTGAGAGTACAATATATGATGTGTGGGTGTAACGATCCGACCGATCGTTTTGAATACTGGCTACCTTTTCTGTGTTCCGTGACTTTTCATAGCTCACTTTGATGATTTATGACTCGCATGCATGGTTCGTGTCGATTTTTAAAAAGTTTAAATGTGAATTTTTGATGAAAATGTGATTTTTGACTTTAAAAATGACTGGAGTTCACCTTGGTCAATATTTGTGGTAAACGGCCTCGAATAGGTATTTTGACGATTCTGGTAGGTTATAATGATTGATTTGGACTTGTACGCACGTATGGTTGGGGGTCCCAGGTGACTCGAAGCCATTTCGGTGCTTTATGTGAAAAGTTCAAAAGATTGAGTTTTAAACTTTGAAAATTTTAAGTTTTGATGATCAGTTCTTGAATTTAAATGTTATTCTAATAATTTGAGCTTGCGAGCGAGTTTGTATGATGTTATTACACTTGTGTGGATATTCGGATTGGAGCCCGGGGGCTCAGATGAATTTCAGATTGATTTCAGATCATTTTTAGCCTTGTAGAGTTAGTTGGTCTCTGGTGTATCTTAGTTCGCGAAGAGGAAACTTGAGACAGGGGCAGGTTACTATACACGAACGCCAGGAGCAGCTCGCGAACACGACGGCTTGGGGGTGGGGTGGGGGTGGGGTTGGGGGCGGGGGGGGGGCTGGCCTTAGCGAACGCGACAGCCCTCACGCGTAGGCTTTGGATCTTTGGGGAAGGTAGATGAGGTCTTCATCGCGATCGCGCTCTATTGATCGCGAACGTGGAGGCTTGGTGGGTGTGATGCCTTCGCGAACGCTGTGCAGACCTCGCAGACACAAAGGGTTGGCCTATGTCCTTCACGAATGCGGCACGTGCTTCGAGAACGTGAAGAGCACCTGAACCCCAGGTATTTAAAAAGCTGAAAATCGGGATATGACCATCTTTCACCATTTTTGAGACCAAGATCACGGATTGGAGATATTTGAAGAGATTTTCATCGCAACTTTATTGGTTATTTATTTTCATAAACACCTATAGATTTTTATCCTTAAATCTACTAGTTTAAACGTAGAAATTGGGAGTTTTGTGTAGAATTTAGGGATTTTGTGAAATTAAGATTTAGACCTCAAATTGAGGTCGGATTTCAAAACAAATTATATATTTGGATTCGTGGGGTTATGGTTCATTGGGATTTGTTCTCTATTTCATATATAGATCGTGCGGGCTCATGTTGACTTTTTGTGACTTTTTGGATTTTGGCAAGTGTTGAACCTTTATTGATATGGGATATTTTCTTTATATTGTTTGACTTCCTCAGATGATATTTGACTAGGTTTTGATCGTTTTGAAGAGTATTTCTAAGGAAGACGATATTAGATTGTGGAAATTATTTCGGAATGAGGTAAGTGTCTTGCTAGCTTTGTTGAGGGAAATTTCTTAATAAATGATATTGTTTGCTACATGGGGGGTAATGCATATACGAGGTGACAAGCGTATATGCATGTGCCGGGATTTTCATGCTCGGGAGGAGGATTATATGCTTCTTTGTGCCTTGTTGAACTTAGTGATGCCTTGACTTATGCTTCACTTAATTATATGACTGATGAATTTAGTTATCTATTTTAAAAATCATGTTAGAACGTATGGCATCTTAAAAGGATTTAACGCGTTGTTTTGAGATTGCTTACATAATTAACTTGACCGTGGTATTATGAACACACATCTATACATGTTATTGTAATGTTACTTGAGCTTCTTTATCTGTAATAAGAGATGATGAATGGGGCCTTAGGGAAATATTTGGCACGATGGATATTTTGTGCGGTTAATATGATATTGGCACGAAGAGTATTTCCGTGCGGTTAGAATAAGATTGGCTTGTTGGTTGTTTCCGTGTGAAAAGAAAGGAAGTTTGATTTCTATTATGATTATTCGTTCGTTAGACATATCCATGCACTCTACCTTGGTTCTTATCTATGTCTTCTGTTTTGTATATTACTTTTACGTTTGTGTTCTTTATGTAGTTTACCTTTATGTTTCTAATTTGGTTTGTGACTATCTCATCTATGTTCCTATTTTGTTAGTCACCGTTACATTTATGCGTTTACTTGAGTTACTTGTCACGCCCCCAACCTCGGGGAGCGCGATCGGCGCGCGATCGAGTGAACCCGGTCGAGTAATCCTATCCAGTCTTTCCTACCCGACTCATTCATGAACCAAAAAGGGAACGTGTTACCATTTGTTAAACAGGGAAGAGATCAGTAATATAAATGTGAAAACGTTACTAGTCCATTTTTACTTAAACGCCATAGGCCATAATTAAGTTTTCAAAGGTGCATACAATTGACAATCTAGTGGAAGAGTTTCAAAAATACAATGTGATCCAATGACCATCCCGACACCCATACATGACCCACATAAATGTTTACGGAGCCTCTAAGGATACAAAAGATCAACATGACAATGCCGGCAACAAGGCCCCGGCTATACCTCAAAATATGGTAATTTACACAAAAGGACTACACAACCCCTGGGAGTAACGGGGGCTCACCAAGACTGCTGTAAGGAGAGAGAAAGAGAGCACCCCTATCTGCGATCGGCGCTATCTGCGATGGAACCACCTACATCCATTCAAAGATGTAGCGCCCGCGGCAAAAGGGACGTTAGTACTGTCGAATAGCACTAGTATGTAAGGCCAACACAAATCTTATTAGAATGAACAGTGAAACAAGTAGAAGATAGTTACAAAAATTACAAGTACTTCACAGAATTGCAAGGAACCACCAAATAAGGATCACATCGTTCCAGTTCATTCTTTCCATCTCTTTTAGGTTGATGATCATTAGCGCCAAGTGCCACAACCCATAATGCCACCGTGGTTTTTACACGGAGTCCGGTCTCGGCCCGACCGACTAAGCCATCCCAAGTGAGACATATCCAAATTCATAATGATAACAGAAGTCCAACATAAATGCCACCATGTGTACAGCATGGCGTCCGATCTCGGCCCGATCGGCTAAGCCATCTCACTTGGGACATAACCTCTTTCAATTATCCATTTCATTTACATTTCTTTCTATCTTTCATTACTTGACACAAGCAGCCCCATTTATTAAGTAGTTCTTGGCACTTGGACACGTTTTATAATTCAAGTCTTTCTCTTTATTATTTTCCCAAATATCGTCAATAACCATGTCAACAAGTGCTATCATACAAGGCATGCACACACAAGGAAAGAAAAGAAAACAAAAAGGAAAGCTTGGAGAACATGATCACATTTTCAAATAACATGATTTTAGGGCGACACTTAGAACAAATATGGAACATAAATCTTTCACCCCAATACGTAAAGGCAAACCATTTAGTATGATCAATTCAGAACTCACGCTAATTATTCGGACACCAAGAGTTCAATTCTAAGAAGAAGAGAGCTATACATATCTCATTTGAGTCTTTCCCTAATTCCTAGGAAAAGTTCCGGAACCTTTAGCACCTTCAATCTATTTAACAATGTAGCACAATTGAAATAATTATTAGGAAATTGATCATAGCCCTAGCTCACTTGAGCATTGTATCAAACATTATGTGTTTGTTGGGGTCCATGGCCCCCTTTTTATGTGGAAGATTTCCCCAACCCATTCCCTAGTTTTTCCTATCTTTGTCCTAGCATCCCCCCACACACCTTAGGATCACATGCATGCAAGGTAACCACTATAATCCCATGAATTACCTAACTAGAGGTCTATTTTAGCTACAATAGGGAATTGAGAACTGGGTGATAGAAGCTTACCTCTTGGAAGGGAGACCTAGGTGCCTTGTTTGTAAATCTTCAAGATGTTTAGGCTAGGATTTGATAAGCAATGAATGGAGACACCTTCCCCTCTCTTTGATCCTCCTCTCTTACTCTAATTATCTGAGAAAGTATGCTGAAAATGTCCTAAGGGGGGTGTTTTAACGGAATGGAGGTCGGGTTTTAAATTAAGAAAATGGGTGCCCCGATACAGGTTTGCGGTCGCATATGCGACCTCATAATGGTTATGCGGTCCGCAAAGTGACCGCAGAATGAGCCTCAAAAAGTTAAGTTTTCTGTCCGAGTATGCGACCGATATGCGGTCCGCATGTCTGTTAATGCACCGTAGAAATTCCCTTCGCAAAAGTTCAAGGCAGATATGCGATCAATATGCGACCCGCATAGGTATTATGCGATCGCATAATTGGGCCGCATATCTGGCCTCAAAATTGGCCCACTTTCTGTTTCACTCTACGACCATTATGCGGTCCGCAGAGCTATTATGCGGCTGCATAATGGGCCGCAGAAATGCGTTATTTTGGGAAACTTTATCCTCTAAGTTGTAGGGTATTGTTCAATCCAAAAAGTCCGAACCGCGGCGAGCTTGCGAGCCGCAAAGAATTTCTACTATAATAACGCAAGAATCCAACTCGGCACCACGAAATCCCGAGTTTTGGTTAAGAATTTTACGGGTCCTTACATTACTACTGCTACATGTCCTTACCTAATTCATGCCTTTACTTGTTATTAGCCTTTACATGATACATGCCCTTAATTGTTACGTGATTCACTTATTAGATGCCTTAACTTGTTTGTAACGACTCGATCGACCGTTTTGAGTATTTTAGCCTCATTTCACCTATTTGATGCTTTACATATGTGTAATTATGGTTACGTATTTACAGGGTTGTTTGGTGTGGTTTGGGGGAGGGGGGGAGTTGTTTAGGCTTATTCATCTTAAGTTTTAAATTTGTTACTTGGATTAGTTCATTAGGCTTGAATTAAGGTGCGACTTGTAGTTTTGAGGTTGTTTCATGTGATTTTAAGCTCTGAGTAACTTCGTGTTATGCTTTGATATTGGTTGGTGTGATTGGACGTGGTACCGGGAGCCCCGGGTGTGTTTCGAATTGATTTTGGGACATTTTGAGGCTTGGTTGCATTCGAAAGTTTGCTGAGATCTGGTGCTTCACACCTACGATGGTTGGGCCGCAGGTGCGAGGCCGCACAATTGACTACTTGGCCGTAGATTCGGTGATTGACTGGGGGATATTGGGTTCGCAGGTGC